GTTCCCCGACCCTCTGTACGCGCAGCAGTGGTACCTGTCTGAGGGGGCTATTGGCGGCTACGACATGAACGTTGGTCCCGCCTGGGCACGAGGCTACACTGGCAAGGGTGTTGTCATCTCCATCCTGGACGATGGTATCCAGCATAACCACCCAGACATCGCTCAGAACTACGTGAGTATATCTTCCTATTGCTTAGAACTACATGATTGTAGACACAACTACTTGATGTACATGAATGGTATACAATACCAACAAGATGAAGAATTAGACACCACATGTGCAACACCTGGGTATCTTTATTTGTAGACGTTTCGCCATCCAGTGGCTTTATCAGTAAAAATTAAAGGATGTAATGTTTAAACTTTTGTATATGGTTCTACTATCTTCCCATTACCTCCTTGAATTTGTATTGATAAAGCCACTGGATGGCGAAACGTCTACAAAGAAAGATACCCAGATGTTACACATGTCTAAATCTTCAGAACTACACGAACACATCTCTTTACGTCGTTCAGATCTACATGACTGTAGACACAACTACACGAGCACATCTCTCTACGTCGTTCAGATCTACATGACTGTAGACACAACTACACGAGCACATCTCTTTACGTCGTTCAGATCTACATGACTGTAGACACAACTACACGAGCACATCTCTCTACGTCGCCCAGAACTACATGAATATATATATATAGCACTCTGTCTTTTATAACATTGTCTTTTCTTTCTACGAAGCTCCATGTTTTCCTCTTATTTTTGTTCAAGGTTCCCGGTTTTCTTGCAAGTCCCTGTAATGTTGTGTTTGAATGTTTCCATGTTACGCTCTCTGTTGTTGTGTTCGGTGTAAAATTCCGATATTTTCTTTGTCTGTTGTTTAGTTTCTTTAAGAACCAATGTTTTGTATGGTTTAACGGTTTAGGAAACTAAACCTGGATAATCTAACCAGCCTTGGATATTAGCACATAAGCTCAAACCCCCACTTATCGGCCTTGAGATGAAATATTTGTAAATAGACTAATAGTACCTTCTCCACTATGTACTTTGATATATATATATATATATAATATATATATATATATATATATATATATATATATATATATATATATATATATATATATATATGGCAAGACAGTGATGGAGTGAATGATGGTGAAAGTTTTTCTTTTTCGGGCCACCCTGCCTTGGTGGGAATCGGCCAGTGTGATAATAAAAAAAATATATATATAATCTGTTCATTGTTGTAAACTAAGTATGAATGTTATTTTGCGTCATATTTAAACCATGTTCTGTGAAGTGTAATGGTCTTAATCTTCATCTGATCTTCACCTGAACCCTGAATAGAGAGTGCAAGATTAATTAACATGTCAAGAACGGAATGTGATTATAGTAGTACTGTATAAAAGTGTCCTTGTTGGCAGGTGGATGACATGCTCGTGTAGGTACCCTTTTGTGGGACCCCTCGTGTAGGGACCCTCTTGTGGGACCCCTCGTGGTGGGACCCTCTTGTTGTCTTGCACGTACCTATCATAGTATAGCGAACTGTGCATGATAGCGAATCGGATATGGTAATATACTTCGAAAAACAGTGGTCAGTAAGTTGTACGAGCGCAGAGATCGATGAGCGCAGTTGTCTCCCTATTAGCAGACGGGGAATCGAGCCTCCACAGCTCCTTCCGTTGAATGAACCAATCGGGCTTGATACTTTACATAATAAATGATAATAATTAATTAACAATAAGAGTAATGAAGGAACGCTGAACTTTCCGTCACTGGAGGCCAGCACAAGCCTTACGGCTCCATCCTCAAACATCTTACTGCTTGGTGATTTCTATCTAAGGCATACAAAATGGAAGAATGTAGCGGATAATGTTATAGCAGAAATAGTCCCTGGAGGCAGCACAGATGAAAGGTCACACACACATGAGCTACTAAGTCTCTGCGATAAACACACCTTTAGCCAGCAGATAATGGAGCCAACAAGACTAGAAAACAGACTTGACCTTATCTTCACAAATAATGAGGACCTGGTAAGAGACATAACAATATCAAAAACAACCAATTCCGATCACAATCTAATCGAAGTCCAGACTTACATGCACAGGGATCCTGATCATCAAAATGCAGGTAACTTTGAAGGTGTCTTCACAAAATACAACTTCAGCAACAAGAACATCAACTGGGACCATGTAAACCATGTCTAAAACGAAACGTGTTGGGAAGATATCTTAAATAACATGGATCCAAACCAGTGCCTTGAAAGGATCAACTTCCTGGCAGCTGAAGCATGTTCTAGGCATATTCCCCTAAGAAAGAAGAAGAGCAGGAGTAAACTGGAGAGAGAAAGACGCTCCCTCTACAGAAGACGAAAAATCACTGAGCTCCTCAGGGATGCTAGAATATCTGATACTCGGAAGGAAGCGCTGACCAGGGAAGTGGAAACTATCGAACTTAAGTTAAAGGACTCTTACAGGAACCAGGAGAGACAAAAACAAGGCAAATACCACATCTAGTATCGGGCCCTTACTCAGACAGGATGGGACTTACGCAGATGATAACAAGGAAATGAGTGAGATATGATATGGCCTTGGATGCACTGGAAGAAAAGCAGAATGCAGATGTAATATACACAGACTTTGCAAAAGCGTTTGACAAGTGCGATCATGGTGTAATAGCGCACAAAATAAGTGCTAAAGGAATAACTGGCAAAGTGGGAAAATGGATCTTCAACTTCCTAACCAATCGAACACAAAAAGTAGTGGTCAACAGAGTTAAATCGGAGGCTGCCATAGTGAAGAGTTCTGTTCCACTAAGGCCCCCATCCTGTTCCTCATCCTCATATCAGACAGAGATGTATTCCACAGCACCGTATCATCCTTTGCAGACGATACTAGGATTTGCATGAGGCTATCATCTATTGAGGACACGGTTAACTTCCAAGAAGATATAAACCAAGTTTTCCAATGGGCAAAGGAAAACAGTATGATGTTCAATGAGGACAAATTTTAGCTACTCCGTTATGGAAAACTGGAGGGGATAATAACTAGAACAGAGTATACTACAAACTCTGGCCATACAATAGAGCGGAAAAATAATGTAAGGGACCTGGGAGTAGTAATGTCTGAGGATCTCACTTTCAAGGCCCAAAACATTTATAGCGCATCTGCTAGAAAAAAATGACGGGATGGATGAAGAACCTACGAACTAGGGATCCCCAGCCTTGTGACACTTTTTCAGGTCGCTTGTTCTATCTGGGGGAAAAATATTGCTGTAAAACAAAAGTCCCTTTTAAAGGGCAGGAAAAATTGCTGACCTAGGAAATGTACAGAAAACCCTTTCACGGCACACGTCTCTCCCCAAAGGCTGCCCAAAAAATTTACTCCCGTCCCCTGACAAAAAAAACCCCAGCCCCCCCATCTAATTTGCCAATCTCTTTTTAAAAGCTGGTCAAAGTCCTAGCCTCGATCCCCCTTGGGGGAAAGATTGTTCACGCATCCACAACTCTTTTTAAAAAACCCAGTACTTCCCTATTTTTTTCTAAATCAAATTTTTCCAATTTTTAAATCCGTATTTTGGTTCTTACCTGGTTCGACACCTAAACTTTATTAATATCTCCTTTGTTTATCCCCCTTATCACTTCAATGATTCTCCCTCTTCTACGTCTCTCCAGAGGTGGGTTTTAAGGCTTTAAGTTTATCTTCATAGGGGAGATTCCTTCAATTTAAATCATTTTAGTAATTTTTCTGTTTTTCTCCAGTGAGTTATACCTCCGTAAAAGGGGACAAAACTGAGCAGCATAATCTAAATGAGGCCTCACTATTGATGTATTTATCCAACCTAAATTTGAAACTCCCCAAAGGGGTTTTAGTTTTTAATAACCCTTTGGGCAAACTGTTCCACTCATCAACTCCCAATTCCAAATCAGTACTTTCCTATGCCTTTCTAAATTAAATTGTTAATTTGAACCCATTATTGCGGGTTCTCTCTTGGAGAGATTCCTCAAGACCTTTTTTTTTCCCCTTTTGTTTCCCCCTCTTCCCTTGTACCTTCGATCATTCCCCCTCTTTCTTCGTCTTACAATAAATTAAATTTTTAGGTTTTCAGTCTTTCGGAAAATTTCTAATGTATGAAAAAATTTTGTATTCTTTTTTTAAATTTTTTTTCTAACTAATTTTATCCTCTGTAATGTGGAGCCCAAACTGAGCTGCTATCTAGGTGAGGCCTTACTAATATGATAAAGCTGTATAAAACCCTCTGGACTTCTGTTACTTACACTTTTTAAAAACCCCCGTAATCTGTTTTGCCGTTTTACGTCGCTTAGGCATTGCTGTTTTGGGTTTTAAAGGTTGCTGCTTACCAAAACCCCCAAGCCCTTTTCGCAATCCGTATGGCTAAGTTCTACTTATTTAATTTTTATAAGTGCTGGGGTTAGGGCATCCCGGCTTAAAAACCCTTTGATTTTCTACTTTGAAGGGCATCTGCCACTTTTTGCCCAAAGAATTGCGTTGTCTAAATCCCCCTGAAGTTCCCTACATTTACTTTAAATAAATTTATCCTACCTTCTTTGTCATGGGCAAAATTTGTTTATATCACGAGAACTCTCTCAAAGTCTTTTGGTATATTTATAAACAACAAATGGCCCAAGACCGTCCTTAGGGAAACGCCACTTGTTACAGATCCCCACTCGCTTTTAAACCCCTTTTAAGACAACTCTGCTTTCTATTTGGAGCCATGACTCGTCCATGACAGCATTTTTCCCCCGTGCCAGAGCTGCAACTTTCTTTAACGTCCTTGTGGGGTACTCTATAAAAACCCTTACAAAAAATCTAAATAAAAAAATACAATTCTTTATCGTGATCACGCCTAAAAAACTTTACTGAAAAAGGTTAAAAATTAGGCGGGAAAAGGCCCCGTAAATCCATGCTGGTATCAGAAATAAAAATTATGCTTACCCAGATGGCTTCTTTAATATCAGCTATAATTGCTTAGTAATTTCCCTAAAATTGAGGTAAGGTTATGGGCGGTAATTTGACGGAAAACATTCCCCAGTGAACACCCCCCAATAAAAAAGGGGGGCGCCCTAGCACGTAAGAACAACCAAAATAAGTGTCAAGGGGCCGGATTTTTGAACTGCCCCCCAAATACAAAAGGAGAATTACCAAAAACCC